GGTCCAATTTTGTTATTGTTCTCAACAAAAATGTCCAAACGACAACAAAAATAATTGCTGGGAGCTTGCTGATACTTGTAACAAGAAGAAGCTTTAAAGGCCCAGTTCCCTGTTTTTTTTTGTTTAAATGGTTTTGGGAAGAAGGAAGCTCTCTGGCATGTAAGGGACTGAATTTTCTGTGCCCTGTGGTATTTTTTTTCATGTCACTCTCTTGCAACCTCCACTGCTAATTTGGTGGGAGTGAGAAAAAACTGATAACATTTCCCCAAGAGAGCATCACGTCTGGTTACCTCGTCCTTCACCAGTGTCTGATCGTGTGTGAACCCAAAACATAGAATTTAAGGCTTTTCCTCTCCGGTCTGAGTTTTTGATAACTGCAGGCAAGTCCGTTCCTAAGGACAGAAGTGCAATTTGCAAGTATACCTCATTTCAAAATTCTGCTCCTATGGTTCAGGTCACAGATTCACTGATTTACAAGCCTAGTAGTGTGCCTGCTCGGGTTCAACTTTTTATCCGGTGTCTTTAAAATATCTGTTCATTGACTGATTTTTTTTTAACCTAATATGTACTGAATACAATTAAGTAAGGAAGGCACCAGACCCTCCTCCATCTCGGGTGTGGGCCAAGTGGTCACAGGGACGCACACTCTGGCAGGATGGGCGGAGTGTACCTTTTTAAACATCCTGGTGGAATCCTCACTTATCTGCATGAACCGCATAATCACATTGTTCAGGTAGATGTCGCTCAAGGTGGCATGGTCTTTGCTTTCTCTCCTCACTTGGTTCAGAAGCAAATACCAGCAGTTCACTGGAGACAACAAGTTCTGGTCTTTCCTAAGAAGTGAAGAAAAGAGAGAATTACCATCAATTTCAAAGCCGCCCCAAGCAGCTGAGGGAAGTCACCAAAGCAAATCAGGAGCCACAACAGACCAGCATTGTCCCTGTTCTTTCTATTCAGGGCATCGCTCAAAGCAAGACACTCGACAGCCAGCAGAGCAGCCCTCCAGGCCGGGGTGGCGCCGAGCCAGCCATTCCCCAGGCTTGGAAGAAAACACTTGGACCAAGAACACCAGTCAAACCCACACTCCCGACAAGGGCCACGGGACCCTCACATACATAGCACTCAGGCAGGCGTTCAGCTTTAAACACCCCATTGAAGAAAGCAGTTTATGTTTACATAAAAACCTATTGACTACTGTCTCAGAGACAGACTGTGGTTTGCCACTGAACACAAAGCCTGCTTTGAATGCCCCTTCTGTTGTTGGAAGAGAGGTTTGGCTAGGTACACTTTCCATGGAACATAAATTGGAGGATGATTGATTAATCCCTTGATGTATAACCTCCAGCCTCCCCAAAAGTGTTCCCGGGAATCAGAACTTTATAGCCATTGTCTCAAGGCTTGTGAACAGAGCCAAGACATTTACTGGCTTATGACTTGTCCCGTTGTCCTTTTGAAACCCATCACGCTGTTTCAGATTTGTAACCGCTCCTTGCTTTATTCGAGAAAATAAAGTGAAAGTGGGTATAAATCACAAAAGACGACATGAAAAAAATCTTAAAGAAAAACTCCAAACAAAAGCAGCGACCAACTGAGATATTACTGGTTTAAAAAAAAAAAAAACAACAAAAAGTACGTTTGTTTTGTTTTGTTTTTTACTTTGAAACCTAACTCTACAGTGGCAAAACTCAGGGACGCAAGTGCTATTTTATCAGCCATGTTATCCTCCTATTATTCATGAGCATTTATGATTCTGAGTATTAATGAAATTAGGGGAAAAATGATTAAATAAGGTCTTGCACAGCCTTTAAGTCCCTCAGATTCAAGATGCAACACTGTATCAAGTCAAAACCTTCTCTAGAAGAGAGAGAGAAGAAATAGGTATGGCTATCGGGGAAGAAAGCCCTGATGGAGGGTCTGAGCACCAGCATCCTTCGGAGAAGCCGCCCATTCTCCCAGCTGGCACATAAAGAACTTACAGCTCCGCCCACAGAAGCCTCCTTTTCTCCCAGAGCCATCGGGCGAGGCGCAGTAGTTCTACGGCAGAATATTGAAGCCTTTTAGTAGAAAGGCTCTCTATTATATTCTCCAGCTGCCCAGCCCAAGAGGTAAATGCTACCTTATACTAACTTTCATTTGCCTCTTTCATGCTGAGGGAACCCATAAATTCTTTGAGAACATTTCACACTTGTTTGTATCCTCAGTGCCTTGCCCATGGTCAGAATTAAATAAACATTATTTCATTCATTAAATAAACACTTCTTATTGCCTTAATAGTAAGTGGTAACAGTAAAACAAC